GTCCGCGGAAGCGCCGCTCCCCCCCCACGTTCCGCACCTGCTGAAGTAATGCGCCAGGGGAGCCCTGTTAAAAAACAAAACAAACAAAACAAAAACTTCATGATTTTTTTATAAGCACCCCCCCTACTGACCTTGCGCGGATGAGCTTGCACTAATTAAAAAGCAAAAAAAAAAAAAATTAACAAAAAAAATAATTAAAAAAGCAGGCCGGTGCCCAAGCGGCAGAGGGTGCCCAGCGCACCCCCGGCAACACAAACACACCAACTGCTACTGAAAATAAGTACTAAATAAAGCGCCCGGCAGCTGCTCTGAAGTTTTGAAAAATTGGTTAGAATGGGTGATTTCTTGTTTATTTCTATTTTTAATACCAAAGCTACTCTGAAACACTGTGTGAAAGGAAAGGGGAGGCGATGGCAGCGGGAAAGCAGGAGGTGCTTGCCTGTACCGACACACCCAATTAAAGACAGTCTAAGCTCTCAAGTAACTCTTACTTGAAATACTTAATTTATACTTCATTTAATTTTGTCCTTCTCATACTCCTTCTCATACTTGTTGAATACCACAAGGGTCTCACAACAAGGATGAACACATGTGGTGGGACTTCTCTGGTTCAGCAGAGCCCAGAGAAGGCCTTCAAAGGGGCAGGTGAGAACCTAGCAGGGTCCAAGGAGTGAGGGAATCGCCTGTCACCGGAGCACTAGGACAGACTGGTACCTTTGATGTCACTGGGACAGACTGGTACCTTCACTGTCGCCCCCCTTCTCCTCTACCTTTCTGCCAAAGATCCCCCAGAAGTCATCCTGCCACAGCACACTGGCACTTGTACCACGGGTTAATAACAAGACTCTGGCCACAGCATGAAGGAAGCCACCGCAGCCTGAAATTCCTCACCCCTTGTCCTCTTTGCAGCCCCCCCCGTGCTCCCCTAACTCTACCTCTGTGTGGTTACACCTTGAGACACCCTTTCTGATTCCTTGAGTTCGGTGTCTCAAGTGACAGAGGGAGGGCTCGGCCCTCTTTTGCTCCCTTTCTTATAAAACGTCTTCCAAAAAAAAAACCAGCCAACATCTCTTTAATGCACTTAGCAAATTCTTGAATAGGCTTTTATAAAGCTAGTCAAATATTTTTTTTTTTTTTAAATAGTGTCACAAGTAACCAAATTTTCAGTTGTTTGAGATAACGTTATTCTTTGCTTTAATAAGATGGTACGCAGGTTTACCCCTTAATTGGAAAAAAACCCCCACAAACCCACCAAAACCCACCAATCCCTCTCCCCCAGCTCACACCTCTGTAGGCACGGAAGCATTTCTAGGGTTATTCTGGAGCTCCAGCAGCAGCTCAGAGGAACAAAGGCCATCATCTTCTACAGCACAACTGTCCCCCATCCTCAGAAGTGGCTCTGGACACCTTCTGCCCAAGCAAAGCGCCACCACCCAGCCAGGTGTGATGAGATCCCGTCACCTGGTGGGGGCCAAGGTCTGCCTCAAAGAAGAAACCCCCCCAGGTGCTCGCTGCTTTGTGCAAGATATTTGGAAATAATTGACCACTTGTGGTTAAAGGCTTGAAATTAAAACATCTACCGCACTTGTTATGCTGCTGTAAGCAAACCACATGGATACTTTAATGCACGTTTTTTTAATTGCAGGTTTAAAGCTCCAAACATTGGTAATAAAGGAGGAATTTCTCTTTTCATAAATAGAAAAAAAAAATCACTATTGCTTCTGAGCACTGTTTCTACAGAAAAATTCTTTCTTCATTTTACATTTATACCAAGAAAAAAAAAAAAGTAGAATAATTAAAATGAAAGCAAATCTTCATACTCAGAAGTATATTTCTTTGCAACTAAGAACTTGATTTTTTCAGGTGCAATAAATTTACTGATCAATGACATGCCAGTTGCATATTGCAGTGACAAATGTATTTGAAACGGGGAGAAGTGAGTAATTTTGTCAGGGAAAAAGGGCAATATCTATACGTGTTTAAATCTACGTTCCTGAAAACGGAAGTATCAGTCACACTACCCATTCAAAGCCATTTTCACATCTTCTGTTTGGTTTCCCAAACCAAATAAAGAAGTTAAGCAGAGGTTAGAGTGACACGAAAGTACAGCGGCCCTACCTCAGTCACTGGTAAGACAGGGATTAGCCTCTGTTTCCCCTTTTTCTCCTATAAGCACTAGAAGACAAGGAAGCAGGCGTGGAGACCAACCGGGACTTCAGGAACACTGTGACGCTGCAGTGCAGGAACCTCAATAGACCAGGAAAAAAGCAGGAAACTGGTTAAGAGTTAACTGGGGAAGGGGGAGAGAGCAAAAAACCAGTAAAGGTGACAAGTAACGTGGCAGCTTGAGAAGTTTTTGTACACGCTTGTTTTGCTAACTCTGCAGTAGTAGAAGGCTTAATGTCCATTTTGGATGGACTGGGCCTGAAGAGTATATAAAAATCTTTGACAGTTGCCTGAGACTCATTTGGCCACTCATATTTGTGGAGGTTCAAATTTTGTCCACTCAAAACCTCTCTGTCCACTTTGTATCATGCCTCTTGTTACTTTCTAGCAGGGCCAGTCTGGCTTCCTAGGCAAAACTAGCAGCACTTTTTCCTTTGAGAGCACAATATTTAAAATACTCATCTTTGAAAAAGAGGCTGGTTTACACAACATGAAGCCAAGAGAATAACAATTGTTACGAGCTACTTAACATTTTAAAGCTTCTGTTTTATCTTGTGTGGAAGCACCCAAGCGCACCAGGAAACACTGGGAATTACAGGGTTGCACAATATAGTAGCATTTTACTCATCTAATAGTTTTTTCACGAGGACTTACATGCCCACAGACTACAGGAACCTCCTTTCAGTACTCTGTAACTTATCATTACAGCCGAGCTGACACAGAACCTGACAGCTTAAGATAAAGAAAACTTCCCTGCCCAACCAACTGTAATTAAGAGCAACATTTTAAAAAAAAGCGACACAAGACAGAAAGAATTAAGATAAATAAATAAACTAAAAAAGAACTGCCTCAAAATGTTAGCAGCTACCAAGCAAAACCAGGAGGATTCAAGAATTTTCACTTTCTAATCCATTATTTAAAGAGTATCTATATAGATGCATATGACATTCCAGCAAGAAAAAGTAGAAAAACTTAACTCCTTCAAGAAAAAGCAGCAAGACTCCATTCCTTCATAGCAGACTCCCCAGATCAATACAACACAAGTGATCTATCCTCACTAAAAAAAAAAATATTTATAGAGCAGTCACTTTTGAGGGGTTTGTTTTTTTTACACTTGGAAAAAAAAACAATTACAAAAAGCTCCATTTGACAATGATTAGATGCGTTCTGTTCTAGGTGGTGATCGACACTTAGGTGGCCAGGAGATAAATGTGGAAAAAAAACACTAAAAAAGAACTACCTGGGTTACTCAGGAATAACACACCAGACCTGACCTCCTGGTGTCCTGAGCCCTTTCTTTCAAATGTAGACAAAAGGCACTACCTGCTCCGTTTGCCCTCCCTGTGTTCAGTCATAGCACTGGTATGCAGAGATGTTACCACGGCCTTCGCTCTTCAGACATCGTGACTGAGCATCAAACCAAAATCGATTGCCTCTTGGTTGCTGGGGACAACGGGCAGGCTCCAGTCAGAATGACTGCTCCAATTCCACACAGTAAGACACAACAATTTTCCAGGACTTTTTTTTTTTCTCCATATGAACACCATCAAGATTCAAAGATGCACCTGCCGGTAACATTTAGAGCCATCTGTTGAAAGCAGCCTTTCAGCTAACGTGTGACACCCCCAGCTGTATGACAGACTGCTGCAGATGATGAAATAGCCTCCTCTTCTCCCAGAGGCAACGCTCCAAAACTCTACCACCACCTTCCCATCCATCAACAGCAAGGGGGTGATTTTTTTTTCCAATTACAGCTGGACAGTCCTGCAATACACTCTGAATTTACTACAGTACAACACACCTTTGCTTGGATATACAGCAAAAAGCAGGAAAAAAATACACAAATTTTGGACCCTTTTAAGAGTATAAGGGATTTTAAATATGTCCAGGGAAATTCTAGCACAATGAAGCCACTGAAAACAAGAACATAAAACCAGAATCACAATAGTATCTTAATTAGATGATAGGAGCTTATTTTCTTTACTATGTACTGTATGTATATAAACATAACCAACAGTGATACTGCTTTCATGTGAAGCTTTTATCTTGTACTGTAGATTAACTACTCTTCTTGTGCTACGATACTAGTAGGAATAGAAAGGACTACAGGATGACAGTGAGATACATTTTGAATTCCTGTTAACAAGAAAGAAAAAAACCTCACACCTAACTGCTGGGATTTTTAAAATTATTTTTATTGAAAAACATTAAAACCAAAAAAATGATCAAGGTCAGTTTTACAGTAAAATTGAGTCATACAGAATGGCTTCCCTGCTATTTGGATTTAGTGCAGGAACCGTATTCCAATATTTTTGTCATGCAAGTGCGGGATTAAAACCACATTCTCATTTAACATCAAAATGGATTATTAATAACACTTTCTTTAGCCTTAAAATCTGGTTTAAAAAGTCAGTTTTCCAAAGGTTAAAAACATTTACACAGCAAGATTCCTCCCCTTCACAGACCAGCTGATAGCTCTCTGTGTCTGATAACTGGCAGAAACAGACCACATAGCTCATTTTTCCTTTTTGTTATTCTAACCTGAGAAATTTGTTAAATGCTTCTTACTGGGCTGTCATATTTGGCAACATTACTCTAGTTACATAGCAAAGTGTGATTTCTCATTCTCATTAGAGACCAGTCTTTCACTACTTATCCCAAAAGACACTCTCACAAACAGGAGTTACATTAGCATAAATCTGCTTCTGTGAATAGTATGCCCTTTTGGCAAGTTAAACCTTGTTAGTAATACCAGCAGAACACTAACCTCAGGATGTCAAGTTCCCATCAGTTGTGTAATTCCTAGTATTGTGCGCTTTGAAAATATTTACTTTGGCGTGTTAATACTTTGTAGCATAGAGAAGTTGATTTCTTTTTGTGCTTACTCCCCACCTTACAAAATCTGCCTTTTCTCTTTCCATTTATTCAAGCCCTTTCCCTTGCCACCAGTCATCTCCCTGTCCCAGAGCTGCAACAGAAACAAGACAGAAAGCACACAAATACATTTAAAAAGTGAGATCTAAAAAAGTTGCTGAACAGCAGAGAGTGGTCTTGTAAAACACTCTTAGTTTATGAATGAGTTTGTAAAATGTAAACCTCATAAGTACCTTCAATGTAAATACCTTTAAGTATTCAACTTTAAATTTATAAGCTTATATTTGATTTCAAACTTTCCAACATTCAGTGTTTTACTATAGTTAAATGTGCTTCACACTTGATAAGAACATCTATAAAAACAACATCGTCTAAAGAAACAATGAAAAACCACTTGAAACAAGCAATTAAATGTCCAACAGAATATAACAACTTCTGCATTTTTCAGAAAATGTCTCTGTTAAATAATTTGGATTATTACAAGTTGTTGCACTTAGGTTTTACCTGAACTTATCTGATTTTCAAGTGAACCACAATTTCTTCCCAGCTAGTAGTCCTGTCTGCCAGACTAAAACTCAAGAGAATATACACGTATAAAATGAGCTTTGTTTGCTTCATACTCTGCCTATTAAAAACCATCATGCTAACCATGGAGATCAATGAATAATTTGAAAGGTGTAGAAGTCACATATCCCAAGAAATGGATGGATTTTTCCTAGTTTGTTTCTGAGTATCTCTGGTCATTACTATACTAAAATTTAATATTAAAGTATTGCAGTTTTCAGCTTCTCTGCCAATTAGTTTTAAAAGAATGTTATATGAGATTAACACAAAATAAGGTGTGGACAGATCCCACATACAGCTGATGCGTGATAACTTTTTATTCTACTGTAATTTGTTGGCGTGATTGATCCCCAAAGAGGAAACAACGTACTTGTGATTTTCTTAAACGTGTTCATAATCCTAATTTTTTTTTTCCATTCAATTTAAAAAAAAAATGGTGTTGGAAATAAGGAGCTAACCTAAATGTTTTGATACTCCTTAGTCTCAAATACATTTTTAATATTACACAGTGAAACTGTATTTTGCATATCAGCACTGAATGCACTTTAAAAAGGACCTCTGTCGAAATATTTCCAACAGGTCTTTATAGCACCATATAATCTGCTGTTGATTTAACTGCTTAAAATCAGACTTTGTGCCACTGCTTCTAAAGAAAAATAATTACATTTTTATTTCCTCTAGCATTCAAAAAAATAAAGTCTAGAAGAAAAAGTTTTTGTTATCCAACCGAATATATGTAAACAATTTATTACTAGACACTCCATTTTCACTTATTCCAGTTTAGTGAAACTGATCAATGAATTGCTACATGATTCTTCTGGAATGGCACCGCTTAATTCAGTGGCAGAAAGAAATCTCATGGACTTACTGAATGAAAGTGTCTCTCTTTCTCTTAATTGAATTTTGAAAGGCTTTTTGCAAGATTTGATGCTGCCCCTTCTATTATAGCTCATTTTCTATACATAATAGAGAAAATCAGTGACAAACACAAGAGGTCGAGTGCTGGAAAAGCCATAGTACAACACAGTAGCAAGGGGACAAGGAAGCGAGAGGAAACCAATGTACCCGGAACAAACTAGAAATACACTGAACACAAGACAGCATCTTAGCCCTACAGCAAATTTTACATTCTTTCAATACTTAGATTGGTCTGTTTTCAACTGATACACAATTCAGAATTTATTCAGAATTAAAGGAATACACAACGTGATTAAACATGAAGTACATGAACCATTCATGCACTAACAAATGCTGCCTTTTTTTTTTTCCACAGGTAAAGCTGAAGCAAGTGTGTCAGAATGGCATTTGGTTGAAATGAAGGTAATGCTGGTACTTTACCATTTTTGATAATTGTTACCTACAACAGTCAAAGTCAGTGACCATCTACTCAATGTTGCAAGAGGCTTGTTTTCCAAATATGAGTTCCAGTAAGCGGAAGTACAAATGACATCAGTTTGAATACATTATGAAGACTTTTAAACTGCGTATTTCTGAAGAAAGCGGTCGAATGCATCATAAATCGCTTGTCTAAAACAAGGAAAAAAAGAAGATAATATGTGTGATTTAGGAAAGGGCAGATATAAGTGTTGTATTTCCATATATTTACTATCATCAGAATTTCATAACAGCATTCAATAAAAATGTGATATTAGGTAGTCTTTTCTTCCTCACACATTTTTGGGATCTCTCACTTCAATCCATTAATATATTTATGTTTCAGGAATAACTGGGATTGCTTACCAATTTTACTACAAGTGCAAATGTTGACAGGAATTTTCTACTCAAAGATGTCAGGAAATGGGTCAAAGACACAATTTATATAAAGGAACTGCATTTATAAAGCTCATTTACATAACTGTCTTCAGAAAAATCAAGGCCTAGTATTACAAAGGCAAGAGTTTAAGCAAGTCCTACTCATTTGTAGTCAAGCTTATATTTTAACTCTGATCTGCAGTTGCATAGGTTTTTTTAATTCTCAGAAGATAACATTTGCAAAAAGACAACAGCTGCACAATACAACATAAGGGGTCACTGATTAAAAATATTTTCTAGTGTCCAGTGAGCAAACTAAAAGCTTTTATAGGAAAAGAAGAGTGAGACGGATCATTCTCTTGCCATTGGCTTACTGAACAATCCGAGCTGTATTGCCCTTCATCTTTGCTCACAAAATGGAAATTTTGACATTCTCTTATTATTTCAGATCTGATAACTAGTTATTCAAAGCAGTATTTGGTATTTGTTGCTTCAGAGTAATTAGGGACTTGCTTCTAGAAGAAAAATTATTTGTCTCAAAATTACGCTTTTTAGCTCTCAGCTATTTTTAGACTTTCCTGTTTATCTTACCTAAAGAGTCCTTGTTTGAAGAGGTAGGCACTGACATGGCCTCCCTCCAGATATCTAATTTCACATCCAGGCCAGATTTCTTGAAGACTGCGCACCCCAGTTCGAGGAATATATGCATCTTCCTTAGCTTGTACAACTATGATTAAACTTGGGTCAACTGGAACTAAGAAAAACAAATCAAAATTGAATTAATCTAACATAAAAAATAAAAACAAATCAGCTAAAATTTCTGTTGCAAAATTTCTATTTCTAAAAAAATTAAAGTTATTCTAAGCTTTAATAAAATTGCATTTTCTAAAGTCTCCAGCAGAATTTATCTGGTTTTTGACATTACAGTAGTGAGGCCATCAGTAGAAAAATGAACTAATCAACCGCCTTCCCTTCCCTTAAAGCAGAAAACTTCACAAGTCTTTGAGGAATGATAGGAAAATTGTCTTTCCTCTTATCAACAGAACTCTATAGCATCCAAGTCAGTCCTCCAAGTTCTTTTTTTTTCCAGCAAAAAGAACTAGGAGACATCTGAAATTCAGTAGAGTATAAGATTTGTATGATTTTTTTTTTTTTCCTTAAGGAGAGGAAAAAAGAAAACTTTTCACATGGAAGGTCAGACAAAGTGCGATATATGTCCACTTTCTTTTCTATGTCCTACATGTTTTAGTTCCAACATATCGTTATATATATTTATTACTCATAACCAGAATTACACCAATCAGATTACTAACAGGAATAACATGACGTTGAGAAAAATAACACCAAAATGATGTTGCACACAGGACAGTTACCTCTTCACAAAGAATATATTTGACATAGTAAATAGTGATCAGCCAAAGACCTTGAAAACAGGGTGTCACAAATAATTTAGACCCTCTCCTTTCACACATAGATCACGAACAGAGGACAGACTAAGTCTTCCATTCATTCCAGAGAACTCCAGATGTGCACTCACCAGGGCAGAGGGTGAGGAAACCCCTTTCAATGAGCTCCAGAAGACACCCCTGTTTGCATTGGCCTGCAAGCAGGGCCTTGAAAACGATTTGTCCCAGAGGCCAAGAAAGCCAGGTTCATCAGACTTAAGGCTCGCTGGGCTACAGCTCCCTCTGTATGCTATGCTTGTCCTGGGAAACACTATATTCACCAGACTGCAGCATCCCAGAAGGACTTCTGTGCATTTTTACTGGTCAGACTTGTCTAAAAGTACAACCCAAGCTTGGTTCTCAGCTATATTGGCTACATCCCATCTGACCTCGCTACCAGATTTCTGCTTTACGAGATTTACTTGAATCACCTTATTGCCAGATTAATTAGATCTGGATATTACTCACAGAGATGTTTTGTTCTTTTAAATATACAATTTTGCACAAAGTCATATCTGAAAATAGCCACAGCAAGGCAGAGAAAAAATAAGCAAAGATACTGAAAGGCAAATTTTTAATTCACTTTATCAATTGGTTGGCCGTTAAGAAGAAACAGAAAAACAATTAGGAAATGGAGTGGTAAATGGATGCTCATGAATAACACTCAAGATCTTTTCATATTTCAGCTAAGGTGCTAGGAGGTTTACACATTACAGAATGAAGAAAGTACCTTTCCTTCCATCATGTTTTGTTCAGTTTTCCAAACTGCACATTAAAACAAATAAATACATACCTGAGAAGTTAGCTACATGGGTACATTCATCCATTACTCCTTTCATGAACCTTAAGGATTCTCTCTGTAAAGTGTCACTCTTTCTTCTTTTATTTACCCTGTGCCCTTGTTGGCTGGTTAAGTTCTTATTGCTATTGCTACTAGTTGAAAATGTTTGATTTATGCACTGCATTTTAGGAGAATCTTGTATTAAGAGTCTTTCTGATGAGGCACTTAGAGTACTTTTACTCGTGGTAAAGCTGTGAACAGCTTCTTTAGAGACAGTCTTGTTTGAGGAATCAAAGTTGAACATTCTGGATGTCATGTCCACATCCTCCAGACTGTCCACACTGTCTGGGAAGTTTTTAACAAAGTCTTGTCCCATCTTGAAAGAATCCGTCTAAACAGAGACAACAGGTAATTTAATAAGGGGTTTTCCTTTAAACCAGTTGGTTAATCTTAAGATCAACACAATACTAAAAACAATAAAGAAAAGAAGAAGATACAAACAGCACTGCTCACATGACTTGTCATTTTCAGACTGCATGTCACTCAATTAATTAAATTCTAATCATCATAGTCTCTTGATAATTCAGTTCTACATTTCTGTTAGCTTAAAAATGCAGGAAGTACTTATATATAGTAGCTAATGATACAAACATTTGTCTGGTTTTTAATTCTGTATTAAACTTTGAATTTATAATTGCAGTCATTTAAGCTTAAATTTCTGAGCAAATAACTCATAAAAACTATGCATTTCTCAGATTTTTTTTTCCAGTCTCAGAAGAGCAGTAATGTCTTTTTGACAAAGTATTAAAAAATTAGCACTTACAGCAATTTTTCATAGACATGAAGATAAGCAATAGCAGTAAACATGTGACCAGGTCTAATGTTAGGTTTAGAATTGAAAAATCTACTGTCTCTAAATACTAGGAAGACACAAGCTGAACGTCTTGAAACATTTCTTCTTTATTTTAAAATCATATATTCACTTAGATTGGAAAGGACCTTGAAGATCATTGAGTCCAGCTGTTAACTTAGTACTGCCAAGTCCAACACTAAGCCACATCCTTAAGGGCCATGTCTTTTAAATACCTCCAGGGATGGCGACTCAACCACTTCCCTGGGCAGCCTGTTCCAGTGCTTGACAACCCTTTCCGTGACAAACTTTTTCCTAATATCCAATCTAAACCTTCTCTGGCACAACTTGAAGCCATTTCCTTTTGTCCTATTGTTTGTTACTTGGGAAAAGAGACTGACCTTGCATCTCACTACAACCTCCTTTCAGGTAGCTGCAGAGAGCGATAAGGTCTCCCCTCAGCCTCCTTTTCTCCAGGATGAACAATTCCAGTTCTCTCAGCTGCATCTCATAAGACTTTTGCTCTAGAGCCTTCAGCAGCTTCACTGCCCTTCTTTGGACATGCTTCAGCACCACAATATCTGGTAGTGCCAAGCACAGGGGCACAATCACTTCCCTAGTCCTGCTGGTCACACTATTTCTGATAGAGGCCAGGATTCTATTGGCCTTCTTGGCTACCTGGGAATGCTGCTGGCTCATATTCAGGTGGCTGTGGACCAATATCCCCAGGTCCTTTCCAGCCAGGCAGATTTCCAGCCACTCTTCCCCAAGCCTGTAGCGTTGCACGAGCTTGTTGTGACCCAAGCACAGGACCCAGAACTTAGCCTTGAAAACTTTGTCTGCTGCATCAGTGTGCCTGGAGAGTATTTTACTTAAAAATGGCAAGTGCCTAAGTAACTATCTCCACCCTAACCTCTCTTCTCCTGTCATAAATTACTTGAAAAAGGACTATCACAAAGCAAAGAATCTCAGGAAAAAAAGTTCTTTATGAGAACCAGCTAGAAGACAGTGTTGCAACATATAAGCAATTCTCAAAATGTTATCACTCCAATCTAAAAGAGGGGTGAGGCAATGAAATTCCCATCAGCAAGAATCTTTCAAAAAAAGTCAAAGGCAAAAAAACCATGCAGACAATAAATTGCATTTCATCAGGAGCAAGCAGCAAATTACAAAAGGTCTACCTCATGGTTAACTGCCTGTGCAATAAAAGTCTAAAACTGAGGAAAGGCTACCATCGCACACAGAAACAGAGATACCTAGAACTCTAAACAAACTAGAAAAGTAATTTAATGTTGCTACATATTAACATATTCTACAGCATTGTATAATTGGAAGCAATTGCTTCAAAGGGCAATAAATCATGCTTTTATATTCACACACCAGGCTATCAGCTTTCCAGACTATAAAGCCAGTTAGTGGGAAATATTATCTATACTTTCAGTGGTTTTATTGAAATCATTTTGTTGCAGACTACACTAAGTGGGATCATGGAAAAAGCTTGTAGCAAGGAATATACTTAGCACACATTATACAACAAAAATACTAGCTTCTGTTTTTCAGAAGGTTTTCCTTCAAAGATTAAATTTATCAAAAGCATAAGGAAACAAAAGACAAGCATGTTTTAGCTAACAATTGGCTGCTTCTACTGGAAGTAAAAAGAATTTATATTATTTGTTAGATTTGCACATGTAAACATTAACAAATAGGGAAAATAAATTATACTTACACCACAGTATTCAAGCATTTGAATGATTTCTTCTTCATAAACAGTTTGTGTAAAATACTGTTTCTCTAGCTCTCTCCAGTTCACTGCCTTGCTCAACACACCCTGAGATTATAAACATAAGCGTCCAGTACACAAGTAAAACTCAGAGATCATTCTAAAATAATGATATACAGAGAAAATTGATCTGTTCCTCTCTGTGACTTGGATTTTTCCAGTGGACTTCTGCCCAAGTTTCCAGATAACCCTTAGAATTACTGGAATCAAAGCATAAGCATATATTATAACATAGGACATGGAAACTGACCTCCCTTTAAAAAACAAACAAACCAACAAACAACCAGAAAAAAAAAAGAATGCAAAAATCAGTTCCACTTAGGGTCTACCCACATCTAGACTGGGCTAAACCAACATTGGGTATCAAAGCCAGTCTATTCATTCACCTACCCCAGCAGCTGGAGTGAAAACAGATACCCCTCATGGTAGTAGCAGTATTATCACCCAACTATTTCAACCAGGGTTTGAGCAGAAGAAGTCTTGTTTTCACGGCTTGCTTCCTCACCTTCCCACATTCAGATCAGGACTCTAATCATTATCCCAAAAACCAGCCCCAGTCTTTAATTTGGCACATGACCCCCTGAAGTAGCTCAAAGCTACCTTCCTTATCATGCACTCTATATCCTGAGCAGGAAGGGTGGGTTTTGCTGCTAGTCACTAAGAGAGGCTGAAGGGTGATGAAATGCCCTAATTGAAAAGGTGAACATGCCCAACCCAAATCTTTTAACTTACATAGCTGATTACATTCTAGATTATTAACAAAAATATATGTTAATTACCGTAGTAAAGACTGCAGAAGCTGTTGACCAGGAAAGACATGGAATCAGTGGCAACGGTTTAGGCCAGTTTGTCACTGCCAGTGAAGCCATCTAGAATCAAAGGCACTTATTACATATTTTAACACTGAATTCACAATATGGGAGAAAGATATATCTCACCTTCCATTTATTTGTTTACAAGGCATTGAACAAATACACAGTGTCAAAGTAGTTAAGGATTGTGGCAGTTGTATATATTTTCACCTATTTTAAAACACAGCCTATTCTTCACTGACTTCCCTAGCAATAAACATTGCCATGGATAGGACTAATTTCAAGGTGGAATGGATTTTTATTATAAGAATTCCCAATGGAATATTTATTTTGACCTTTTAGTTGTTTAAAACCATGAAAAACATCTAAACCCCCTTTTTATCAAGTTCTTGCAAGCTTATTTCAAGGCAAAATGAAGGCAGTCTATGGAAGGACTATTTAAAACTCTATACTTTTAAAGTTTGTATACTGGAAACAAAATGTGGAAGAGAAGTAATCCAGCATGTTAGGTAGACTCTTTTTCTGTCCTTTAAATTACTACTTTTACATCAGTTCTCAGAATGCATTTTTGTGAATACTCTGTTTATCCCCCCCCCCAAAAAACCAGCAAAGAAGCTTAATGTAGAGAAGTTCCCCTGTATGGTATGTTCTTGCCAAGTTTTATTTGATTGCTCTAAACTGAAAAACAGTCTAAACCCCCGGACACAAAATGTTGTGTCTGTGCCAGATCTTCTAATAAATGGATGTATACAACTGAACTATAATTCTAATTGTTTTTTATTAATAAAAGGTTAAAAGAACACCACATACCTAGATTCTGATAGCCAGAAAATCTGACTTCTCTCTTTTTAATTCCACCTCTCACCATCAGCAGAACTGAATTAATGCTACCTACCTTCTGTTGTAAAACACATGCTAAAGATGATCAACATAAAAGATTATTTATTTCCCTGGTTTTAAATTGTACCAGAAGTCCTGTAAGTCAGGATTAGCCAAAAATGTATTTCCTGGACTAAGAAAAAAGATTTCCAAGCTGTTTCCAAACTCAGTCTCTCAGATCCTGCCTCTTTCTACACCCATGCTGTACATCACCATTGGTACAGGATACAGTACACAGTTATTACCATAGCATTTGCACAGCATTTGAAGCGTCCTGCAGGGTTAGTGGTGCATACACCAGTTTGAGAATTCCAATCCAATTTACAAATAAGACAGGGAAGACATGTTTAACACAAAAATTGTTGTTTCAACGGAGTGATATTTAAGTAAATCAATGGTGCTTTGTACATTTCTGACATTAAGAGTTATTAAATTGTGCTTTGGAGGAAAACTATTTTCCTTACCAGTATACAATACCATTACCAACATTATTTATTTATCCCCAACAACAAACAAACAAGAATCAGCAAAACAGAGGTACGGTGTTTTAATAAGCTTCTACCTATACCTCATGGATCAATGATTAACTGCAGAGACACAATAGTAATATTTTAACTTTGTGTTAGTCTTTCAAGCATCTTATTAATACACTGCTGGTTTAGCTTAAATATGCAGAGTGTCACACACAAAATATTATCCATTTCATTGCAGAAATCTTCTCTAATCAATACCAATGATTGGGGAAAAAAAAAAAGTTGAGAACAGAACTGACGCCAAAAGTCACCTCAATTACAACATGCCTACAAAGAGGAGACATTTCACACAATGCATTCAAACAGAAAAGCTTTAGCAAGAAGAACGGAGGAAAAGAGGAAGAACCAGCAATTGATCAGTACAGACCTTCTTTCATAAAGTATTTACCTCCCCCCTTTCCCTTGTGGAAAAGAACATAATTATGTGAAACGATTATATTCGTATTAAGCCTGTCAGGAGCTGGCTGACAAAGGGCTCTACGATTTATCAGTATTTATTGAGGATTATACTAATTCAGCACCACAGAACACGAGAATTGCCAACAAATTGTTTCTCATGACTCTAAATGTTTATTTTAAAGTACTTCTGAGAGGCACACTATAAAACAAATTGTTTCTGTATGCTAAACAATCAAATGAGAAGTTAAAACAATAATTACTGAACAGGAAATATAAAAGCTTACATGTCCTCCCATGGATATTCCAGTCATCCCTAGAGGTCCATATCCTTCTCTCTCTAGCCAGTGCAAAAGAGCTGCCGATTCTAGAACAAGAGCTCCTCCCATCACAAACAGGTCCGAGACATTTTTTAAACATGACCGTCTTTTCTCCCCAGAAAAGGAAAATATAGGATTTATTTTCTAAGATTAGATTTTGACAGTTCTCATCATTCTAAACATACTTTTATACAAAGCCTGATCACATTCCCAGAGAATTTTGGAGCTCAACCCCTGTTGATTCAACAGGAGAAAAAGCTAGTCCAGATTCTCTGGCACTTGCACTTTTTCATCTAAATGAGTACTAGGGATAGACACCTGCTAAGCTTCTAGCATAATATCACTGACAGCCTGGTCTTCTAGATATTACCAACATTACAATCTCATTCATAGTAACCTTCTGTCCTGTAAAGTTATAAAGGATCTTTTAGAAATAGAACTGAAGTGATACAGTCCTAGGCATACTCTATCTCATTTGAAGAAACAATTCTTTTTTCTTTTTTTTTTTTTCTTATTTACCTGTTTTACATCATTGAAAAATTGCACACAACATTTGAAGAGTAATCAGTATGTCAGCTTTGGAAGCACTCATCAGTGTCACTTGTAAGACTGAAATTGTAAAGTGGGAAGTTTGTCACGGTACTGAGAAATTCATGTAGTATACTACAAAGCATTAAAATACAGAAGAAGAAAAAAAAAAGTAGAAAGCTATTCGGCTGAACCACCTGATGGACTTTCAAAAAGGGAAAAAAACCAACGTATTTTACAGAGCAATTAATACATCTTTAACTTGGGGAGGGGGACTGTGTATTTTCAGTACCGCACAGTCAGGTTACAAAAGACTACTGGCCTGTTGTGCCAGCGTACAATCACATTTGAGTCGCTCTGGAGCACAAGGACAAAGCTTACCGTGCGAGCCACAGAGCCATGAACAGAGCTGCTGCAGAGCAGTATTTATAGACTAGCGTAATTCTTTCCTACAGCTTTGTTAGGAGAGATTCCTCAGCCCTCTCCAGCTGCTGTACTTATTAAACACTGTTACTAGCACATTAACTGAAACCTCTGCTGCTGGTTTGTAACCTTGTATCAAAGAGGTATTACTGGTTGGGGTATTAGACTGAGCACTCCCCTTCTAAATTATCCTGTGTATACTAAGCTGTCAAGCTAGACAGCCAAGAACCAAGTTAGAAATACCCTTTGTCAAAAGATTTAACTTATTTTTCTACATCGGATCCTAAATAACTGGAAAAAAAAAACCACACCAATGGATGTATTCCAACACACACACTCTCTTGTGACTTTCCTCTTATCTTATGCTTTTAAATGCAGTAGTAAGTATATAAACATTAAGGTTTCCTATCAAAAAATAATTTTACAACTATCATCTTAGTTAATGTAACTCACTTTTTTTTTTAGTGGTTTTTATGTCAAAATAAATAAAATTCAACATCTGCTTTGGAAAAAGCCTAGAAACTATTTTTTTAATTAAAGTTTTCTTTTTTTTTAAGCTGAAATCTAAATAAAATCTAGAATATCCAAGAATCTGTAGTGTGCTCCCAGTGAAGTAATAATACAATGGACAGGTTTAAGAACTCAGCTGTAAAAAAAAAAAAAATAAAAGTCTCTTTCTATGCACCTTCTACTCATGTTAAATAACCAAGTTATGATTAAAAAGTATTAAAACACCAACTCGTATTTGGAAATATTGGTAAAGTGAAACCACAGCTTTGCCTCAGACACATGTCCTATTGAATTCTGTTTGCACTCCAGGGGTTCAGAAAATGTGAAAAGAAAAGAAAAACAGGACTGCCTAACTAGGCTTCTAAATTCACCCTTAAGAAACCAATTGAGGGAGCCAAGTCCTGTAAAATACTGAAAATTGCAGTTTTCACTGACTAACAGACAAGCAACATCAGATTCATTTACACGTGTGACTGCGGTCCCCTTAAATATCTTGGGAAAGCACACTCCTAGCAATTGTAACAGGAAAGTACACTCTCTGAACAAAGCTTATTCACAGTTGACTGAAATACAATTGCAGCATTTGTACATGCACAGTTGTGAATTACAACAAACTGACGCTTGCATTCACACTCATCTCACTCAATACCCCAAGTTCATCTTCTGCAAACTTTCCTGATCACAAGAAATAACAAAGCAGTCTACCAAAGAGTAGACAACTTCACATTAGCAGGTTATAAGCAGTCCATGCTTGAGATTTTTTTTTTTCTTAATAAGCTATCAAAGTTTACACTATTTTGTGCTTCTTGAGGAAAAAAATAAAGCAGCAGTATTTCGAAAAGACAGTATCCACGAATGTAACAGTAATACTTACAATTGATCCTTAGGTTTTCTGCAGCCATGTAGAAGACTCAAGTTAAAGAAAGTAAAAAATTTCTATATAAAAACTGGAAATTAAAATAAAATAAATAATATACATAAATACCATACTGCTTAATTAAAATTTGGAACTTAAATTTCAAATGCTGAACTGGAACTAAATCAAGTTAAATGTAGTTTGGCAATGTACTTTGCAACATAAGATTTTGTTTTTGTCAGGCATATGGGTAGGAAAAAAAGTGTAACCAGAGACCCTATTTAATAAAACAGGGTAAGAGTGTTATAGAAGTTATGAATGAGTTGTTGACAGAACAGAACTTAAGTTTTTTTTTTTTAAAAATCGTAAATGGTAGCAATAAGTTTCTCAGAAGTACCTGAGGTACCAAAGCGTTGCATTGAGAAGGGAAGGCAGGAAAGGTAACTTTCTTTTCTGTCATTAATACATTCAGAAGTCACATAGTATAATACAGAATGAAGTCATGGTTTTCACTCCGTCATGACTAAAGAAATCCTATCATTACTTTGATGAGCACACAGATTCATATCAGAACTTTTACTCTAATGACTACAGTAGGAAGCTGCAGAAGACATTTTCAAAAAAACTAGAAAAGCAATATTTGGTGTAAAAGTATTATATTAACTGTTTTCGCGCAATGGTCATACTTTGTTTCTATCCACTGAAAAACCCACTGGAAAGCGATACGCAATGTAGATACTATACCAATGCAATGAGTCTTCTACCTCTGTAGAGAACACTGAGAATGAGCACGTTGCTTTGCACAAAAGGATATAATAAGGATTTTCTAGCAATAGGGAAGCCATACAGGCTTCTTTAATCATTGGGCGTGCCATTAATGTGCGTCTCCTCCAGAAGTGCTAAAGATAAGATGTACAAACACATATTAAGATAAAATGTGATTATTTAATTTCTTGATAATGATCAATTTTACATTTTACATACTCACATGATCTCCAGTGCCTGCTAAATGAATGCACACAGGTCTGTGCTTGCTATTCCATCTTCTGGGTATGATGAACTGAAATCTATGAGAAACAAACACCTATTTTAGCAAAAAAGTACATCTATATAGAGGCTGTGCCAGATAAATTAATCTACATGACAAATAAAGACAGAATAAAGTATTTTCGTAACCCATGCAGGCAAACTGCCAGCGATTCAGCAATATTATTTTTCATAAACACATCCAGCAAAGAAAGGAATCTCAAAGTAGGACAGGATAAATGCCAAACAAGAAAAGAAGCCAAGCTGAAAGATCATGTTCCTAAAAAAGACCACTACCTCATCATGAGAGTTTAAATTTTGTGGAGTGGAGAAATGGAACTTCAGATGAAAAACGGCCTAAGCAAGAATGACTACCTCTCCTAGGCAGCATTGTTACTTTTCTCCTGAGGGCACAACAGCTGAAATTGAAGATTAAGATGAGCAATACATTTAAATTAAAAAAAATAAATAATTAATCAAAACCCAACCAACCAAACCATGAAACTATTCTATACACCCAACATCAATCACCTCATGTCTCCTGCTGCTACTCAAGTTATTTACAATCTAACTACTAAGGGGGAAAAAAAAAAAAAAAAAAAAAAAAAAATCACTTCTAAGCCACTAGTATTTTCCCCACAAGATGGAGCACTGCTACCTACAACAGTGGTACACTTCAGAAAAAAATATTCACACCATGTACAACCATCTTAAGGGCAATTTGTAGAGCATTTCAAAACTGTAACAATACTGTCCAATGCAATGGTTAGCATAACTTGACTACAAACTGTAAGAGAACATAGATACAGAAACAATTGTTCATTTCTAGCATCCTGCTCATTTAGAAAAAAAAAAGCAAAAAGAAAGACCTGCAGGGCATTCCATGGCTTTGTGCAATATGATTTCTACACTCAAAACAGGCCCAAAAAGTGCCCTAGCAAAGGACATACTTTGCTATGGGACTTTTTGTTTAAATTTATTTACACACAGATTAAACTACCACATGAATAGGACTTATTTTCACTTTTGAGATCAAGATCTATCTCAACACATTAGCACAAAACCAGTTTGAAATATTTTGCAGATAATTTGTATTTCAATAAATTAGTTTCACAATAAAACTACTTGTAGACCATTCTTATTTCTCTGCAGTACCAGTTTCAGAAAGAAAATACCACTTGGCTTCTCTTACCTTGCTACAAGAGACTCGACTGGCAGGATACCTGGGACATAATGAGCCATTGGGGAAATGAAGTGCCCCTCAAGGATTTTACAGTCGGATTGCTCCTCAACCTACAGAGAGAATGGAATAATAACAGCATATTTCATATCAGCGTTTAACTTGCTCTGAAAGCCAATCACTTAAAGTAAAAGAATTTGTTACAGGATTAACATGTACTTAAAAAAAAAAAGCAAACCTGAGGTTTACTTCAAATATAGGGATACACATTACCAACACAGTCAAAACATTTGTTTCAAACTTTGCTTTTACTAAATGGTCTATTAAAAGAATCAAGGAATAAAGTATAATATTTTTCCCATTTTAATGAACTTCCACAACACATATTAAGTTTTGAGCATTTTTTGAGCTTCAAGATCTGACATCCCACCTCCCCAACTGTTTTATTACTTGGGTAAAAACCAAAACACTATCTGTTCAGCCACTGCTTTATTCTCTCAGTTTCCTTCCGTTCTCCACTAGGAGCCAACATGACTGCTTACTATCCCATTTCACATATTTAGCCATTGCTTCCCGATTCTATCCACAGCAGCTCAATTTTAAAAATAAAAAATAATTAAAAAAAATCAGACTAGCAAACTGTTAAAGCATTTAGCTTGCCATATCATTGACCACCACTGCATTTATTTGACTTTAGAACTACTCCTCATTTCTGACCCCTTATTCACACTTTCTAGATTGAAAAATCTTGAGGGGAACGATTACTTCTATGCACACCTCACTCAGAAGCACAGGACCTCCTTTTTCCAATCAAGAGCATTTGAGAACTCACACCACATTGATTTCTTTTTCCTCTACAGCCTCACTCCTCTCACAGATAAACTCTAATGTTCTCTAATGAAGAGCATTCAATTCTTTTATCCTACAAAAGCAGTCCGGTAAGTCGATTTCACCTTTAGGAAAATTTAAGTTTAATTAAACTGCATCATCTCTTGCTTTTAAGTACCTTGTCAATGAACACTGGGTAATCTTTCGAAACCAGCGTCTGGCATTTTTCCCTGTTTCCAATAATCTTTCTGAATTCAAATATTCTGTTGAAAGGAAACAAGTAGAGAAGATTCAACTTTTAATCTAAAAAAAAGAGAAAATATACATATATAAAATTTCAGGAGCTAAAGCAAGCCACTAAGAAAATAAAAGTTACAAATCCAGGTTTACATTTAGAGATTAATCGGGCTACCATAGGGTAGGTATATAAGAATATTTTTAAGTTAAAAAACCAAAAAGGGCTTAGGTACATTGTTTGCAATCACACAGTTCTTAAATAGCATTTCCCACCTGATATGTTGAAAATTTATGTCATTTTTCAGGGTCAAATTAAGACATGGCAACTTCCTACACTCACACATCCTTGTAGGTACATTATGGCAACACAGACTGAACTGGTGAAAAACAGCCTGGAATGCCACTATCATCACACAGCTGTCAATGACCTAACTAGAAACAAGTCACTCGCATCACTTGGGGAAGTTCACGAATGACACAAACCGGAGGGTGAAGCTGACAACTGGAAGGTAGGGTTACCCATTCAGAGCAAACTGGATAAGCTGAAGGAACAGGCCAACAAACATCCTAAAGCTCAACGATAAAACTGCAAAATCTTGCACCTAGGACAGACCAGCCCCATGCAAAAATACAGGCTGAGAATTTCCCAGCTAGGTAGCAGGAGAAGGCATAGGGTTTCCAGTGAAGAGCAAACTGGACACGAGTTAGCAGCACATCTTTGCAGCCAGGAAGATCAATGGCATACCCTCTGCATTTAGCAAGGGAGCAGACAACAGGTCAAGCAAACGGGGTTTGCATTGCCCAGGGAACAGAAAGCCGAGGAGCAAATCTAGTTACGTTCTTCTGCGATTTAAACGGGCTGCAGAGCCTTACAGAGCAAATGAAGCAAGACCTTCCTCAGAGGTATACAGGGAGAGGACAAGAGGCAATAGTTGCCTGTTGCAACATAAGAAACTCCTACTGGAACACAGTGAAAGATTTTTTTCAATGTTAAGCACCGGAAAAGATTACCCAGGGAAACCATGAATAATCCCCACCCTCACGCGACTTTGGAAAATCAAACGGATGGGGTGCCAGGTAACTTGAACCAACTAAGAAGTTCGCTTTGTTTTGAATAGGTATTTGGACTAGATGCCCTTAAGATGGCCCGCCCAACTTTAAACACTCTATACTAAAAATTAATTCCTCATTCTTATGGTTGTAAATACACACAAGGATGGTACCTGACCAACCAAAACAGCAGATCTGGGTGAAAAGTACAGAACAATAATCTAACAGAAATTATCATCTTCCCAACATGAGAGAAAACCAAACCAAAAGGATGGAAAGAAAGTCCAGTTTACCACCATATCAAAAATAGCTCTACTATGTACCTTTTGCTTTTCTTATACAGAACAGCAGGTACATGAAGCACTTGAGAAAAAAATAAGGGCAAAGGTGTGAGACGCAAGTATGGAGGGCAAGCTAACGAAGAGATCCCGAAATCCTCTAAAAATACTGCATTTATGTATTTCCTCTGTAGTTAGGAGGATACTGAAGGTTAAATCTTGCATGTGTTGAGAAATTTCAACTCTTGGTAGTGAGTTTAAGATAAAATATTAGGATATCAAGTCATCACATAAGGGCGTGCACGTAGTCTATAATATAAGTCAATCTTAGTTAATGCTTGAAGTATAACAAATTTAATTATTTCTTCTAATGGAGCTTCACAGTGATTTGTTTAAAAATAATTAAAAAAAAAAAATACAGATGATGCTGACACTGTTTCTGGCATGATAGGGCATGCAGAGTAGGGAGTGGTACTTTCTCCTCCCACTAGCAGTGTGAGGAGTCAGGAGGAGGTAGTATTCTTCCTTCTTCACCCAGGTGAAGCCAGGCTGCTGGGGAACAGCTCACCTTTTTCCTATACAGGGGCAATACACAGAACAAGCTCTCCTTCCACTTGGCAGACCAGCAAGCCTGCCTCCTGTTTCCCCCACAGGTTGTGATCTCACCTGAGAGATTTTTTTCCCCTACTATGAAAAAGGAGGGGCCATAGCTAATCCCATTATTACTACCAGCAATGCTGCTTTATCACTGTTTGTCATTAGGGTGATTATCCTTACAGCCCCCACACAAGAGAAAAACCTTGCCTACTACTGCAATAGCTGGCAGCAGAATTAATCAGAAGTTCCCCTACGTATTAATGGTGTTGGTGGGAGACGGGCAAGTGAAAGTTCATCATGTCTCACCAAGAGCCTAAAAGTTTTTAAAAGAGGGTTTTGATAACATTACAGTGTCCCATTTTGGATATGCACACACATAATAGCACACAGAAACGCTGCAATCAAAACAGAACCCACATTTTTTTTGCTTTTTCCAACAAAAACTAAACATATTAAAAATCCAACATTCTCATTTCGCAGGAAAGTCTGCTTCTTGAGAGAAAAAAAATCAACTGAAGCCATACATACAAAGCAATCCAAGTGCCATTTCAAGATTAGATGATGTAAAGCTAACCAATGTTTCACTTGGACTTAAAATCAAAAACAACCCCCCACATAACTCCACTGCTATCCACAGTGATTAAAATTTCAGGGTTTTTTTTTTTAATTTCTTTATTGATTGTTTCAAATACATATAAATTATCTTATTAAATGCAGATTTACCATTTCCTATTTAAATACTACATGATGCACAATATACATATTCAGTCAATTTTTAAACTTAAATGCAAGTGCTTAAGTATCAAGTGCTACTACTAATAAAATATATAACTAATAAAAATCAACAAATATTTAAAAATTAAGAGGTACTTCCTTTTTTTGTTATTTTCAAGGGAGTTTACTACTTTGGGCTATGACAGAAACTTCTGATTACATCTTACACTTTTAAAGCTCATTATTATTAAGAAGCTACAGAAAAGTGGCAAGATCCTCTTGAATGTTAAACATAACAATTCCTCTGCAACAAGTTTTGGTTTTAGAAAACACTTTTCTGAGGTGCTGCTTGAAGTACATAAACATATATGTTTAAGTTGGAAAAATGTAGTTGGACACATACACATTCTCTCAAGAAGAACCTCTTTAAACACAAACACTTAGCAAATCCTTTTAAGATTCGTTTCAAATCCAGCTCCTCCCTTGGTATGGAAACACATGATTTCCTGAACAAAATGAAGTTTAACACTTTTTTTAAAATACAGGATACTAACACTTGTTGGCACTTCAAGTGTTGCCTTTTTTCATTTAATATAAAGCACTGTTTATGCTGTTATTTTTTTAACAAGTCACCTTTTCAGATCCTCTGGCTTTCCCCATCCTCTGATGAAAAGTTTAGTGAGGAGAAGCTTTCTGTACAAGACATCTAATTTACTTACACCCATTAGCAGCAAACTGACATCTAGAAAAAAGAACAGGTAAAAACAAGGCATTTAAAGATGTTAACTTGAGTGGCAAGTTCATTGATTGAAACAGAAAGTAGATTATTATTCTGGTATCTGTATTAATGAAGAGCCATACCATTTTATTGCAATGAAGTAAACAAGTATCTTATCTACTTTTTTTCCATTTTTTGCCAACTAATTTCTTATAGTTTTGAAAATTATGCTCCCACTCCCTTCAGGGAAGAAATCATGCCATCAAAATCCTTACAGTACAATTTTTCTTTCAGAAAACACACTAGCTCAAATATAGCCAAAGTCAACAAGGTTTTAGGCAAGTTATTATTTTCAAAGCAATACTTACTGAAGTGAACAGGGAGCCACTACTGTGCTCTTCCAATGAGGAAGGAAGGAAATTAAAAAAAAAAAAAAGAGAATGCAAATCTGTTTTTTTGGTCAGCAGGATACAGCTTATTCAATTAAAAAATATCCAGGATCTGTGTACACCTAAGAAAAGAACAGATTTAATAATCACAGACTTGGTTAGTAAGTTACCTTTAACTATTTTCTAGTGTTTCCAGATCCCTCCATAGTAAATGGTCTAAATAATTTCATAACACTCCAAAATAGTGTAATTTAATTCATGGTGGTTTGGGTTTTTTTTTCATTTTAATCCAAAGTTCATTTACTCTGCCACACTTTAATATGGTCATTTTTAAAATAAACTTGTCTGAATAAAACAAGTTAAAATTGTGGTCAGATTAATAAATACATTCCTTTGTACTTCTAAGAAGCCAATACTTAAGAATCAATATACAGAAAAAAGAAAAACGCTTTAACACCTAGAGTAAGTTACTATCAAAACAGAAATTATAGACAACTTAAGGTACTTGAATACTAGAACAAGCATCCTAGAAAACCACAATGGTTATAAGTTCAGTCGTTACAGGGCAGAAAGAAATACCTGAAATCACCAGGAACTGAAAGTGGGGCCCTTCTATTTTAACACTGTAGAAAGTTTTACTTCCTACTTCACCAGTCCCAAACAGCTGACTGTAATCTTATTATTCTGATCCATATCTGCTTGGTCAATACAAGCTTTTTCCTTGCCCATTCTGGAGATATCCATTGACCTCACATGCTGTTGGGGTGTCAGACAGGAAGTGTTTGCCAGCCTCTGCAAGGTACCTGCTCTGCTTTTTGGAGTAAGGAAACAGCTTGGTATTTTCCTGGTGCTAGAAGAGAACTGGGAGGGGGAGACAAGGACAGGAATACAGAGCAGACTGTATTCTGGGCTGAGAAAACACTTGAGAGCACACACAAGAGTAAATCTATGCTTCCAAAGACATACTAAAACTAGATTTGCAGCTGTATCAGTACACTGCTTACCATTAATTGTGAAAATAAATTTTAATTATTGATTTGATGCTTAACAAAGCAGCCTTGCATGTTTTGTTTAGTTGTTTGTTGGTTTGGGCTTTTTAAAAATAATTTCCAAAATAAACACCGAATAGAGAGAAAACATGGAGATGTTGATTTTGCTGTCAGTTCAAAGGCTGGCCTGATGAGCTCTCTCTGTTGCACCAAGGGAATGCCAAAACAAGTTTCTAGATGAGTGCATTATATTTAAATGCAACATTGATTGAGGTGAAAGGGTTGTCTCATCCTGTATTCTATTTCATTGATTGAATAAAGACTCTAAAGTAATTCAGGATTTTTCATTTAATCAGATTCAAGATGAAACTATTACTGGAAAGAGTACAGGAAACACTAAAACAAAAAAATATTCCAAGTACGTGAAGTATGTTGTATAGAACTTCTCAGAAATACTACTGAGATACAATTGGGGTCATCCTCCCATTTTGTTTATCTTAGTAACAAAAGGGTAGGACACGCTTCAGTCACTGCCATCAACGTCTACATGGAAAGACAATTATAAATACTTCTACTGTCAGAAAAGGCAAATCCAACTGTTGGAGACTGAAGTTTTAGAACCTCATAGTAGAACTAATGAGTGTATTTTTGCAGTGAGAGTTTGAACTTGAGAAAAGAACCACCAGAGCTTCAGAATGTGACTGGATTTCCACCATTTGATACCACACGTCACATCACAATCCATTTCTAAGACGGGTCAGCTGGAAGCAGTGACCTGATAAAGATGCTGTACAGTTGTGTGCCCCAAGAAATAGTACCTGTGTTATGAATATTCAATAAGTATATTGCTAAAACGGTAAGCTTTACATAATTGCAAGTTGCAACCAGAAATTCTAACAGATACAAAGGCACATTAAGAAATGACCTACAAAAAAAACCCAAACCCCAACACCCACATTTTAAAATATTATTTTCCAAAGAAGACTTCAAGGAAACCTAGAGGTAAATTCTAACTCGGCTCTTGCTCTGGGAAGACAGTTTTTCTTTGCTTCCAGAACCCTCACACTGCATACTAACTATACTTTTTTGTTTTGTACACTTATTTCATAGAAACAGACACAAAAATTAATCCAAAATCCAACACATAAAAGGTCAGCTATTCCTTTCCATCCAGTGTATTCAACTTCAGACATAAGAAAAACAGCACTGGAAAGTACATGAAGACTTCATTAAAGGCCCAGTCTACTGCTTCTATACATAGAATGGTTTAGGTTGGAAGGGATTTTAAGACCATCTAGTTCCAACCCCCCTGCCATGGGTAGGGACACCATTCACTAGACCAGGTTGCTCAAAGCTCCATCCAACCTGGCCTTGAACACCTCCAGGGATGGGGCATGAATATTAAACAGCTCCCACCAAGAAGTTAACCGGAAAGAGCCAGGAAGGTATATCCATTTCAGAAGGCTGATTCCTTAACTTCCCTGCCCTATTACTTTAAAAAAAAATATCCCTCTTCCAATTAATGTCAGGTCAGGCTTTTTTTTTCTTTTGCCTCCAATAGCAGACGATTTAAAATTTAAAAAAAAAATGAAGAAGCCACGGCGACCAGTCAGAAACAGGCCCCACAGTAATTTCACCCACAGAGGAGCCTGTGGGTAAACAAAGGGGCCTAAGCCAGAAACTGAATTCCACCGAGCAGCTGCCCACCGGCCTCTCCTCTCGCTCCCTGTGCGGTTACCTGCGGACGGGCAGCACAACCCGAGCACTGCCTGGTACGAAGCGCAGGGCTCCACAGACGGTGCCCTGCCGACCCGCAAGCTGCAGGTGACACCCCCCCACCTCCCACTGAAACCTCACCGGCGGATGGCGGAAACCCCAGAGCCAACGGTGGGAGGTGCCCCCGGCCCAACGCCCGCGCCCCCTCCAGCTCCCGGGGCGGGTGGTTAGGACACCCAGCCCGTCCCCACAGCCGGCTACCGACCCCCTCTCCTGCCACAGGACGAGGCGATCCCGCCTCAGCCGGCGCGAAGGTCACTCACTCACCCCTGGGGCCGGGCGCTGAGGCAGCGAGCGGGCGAGCGGGAAGGCTGAGGGGAGGAGAGGGGCGGGGCCAGCCTCACGCGCGGGCGGGCGGGCGCGCGCACGTACGCAAGCGCTCAGCCGGGAGGCGGGTGGCCCCGCCCCCTCGCGCGTGACCCTGGGGGCGGCTCAGGGCGGTGTTGGAGGGCGGGGCGGGAGGCTTGGGGGCGGGGGTGGATCCCGGGCACGGCGGTGCTCGGGAGTAGCTGAGGTATGGCGGCCGCGGTTTGTAGTCCGGAGGTGTCTGCTGACGGGCAGGACGAGCCTTTGCTGAATGCCGGAGAGGTGGAGGAGGAGAGCAGGTAGGGGATTAGTTTCCTCCCACCCCCAATCCTTTCTGAGGCGATTCCTTGCGCCGCGGGGAGCTGCGCCAACGGCCGCCTCCGGTTCCTCACAGGCGGGAGGGGGGCGGTTGAGGCGATACCCCCGTGAGTTGCTGGAGGGTGGGAGACGAGTCCGTCTTCCCTTCTTCGTGGGTGCTTTATCCCGCCAGAGAAGCGCAAACCTGAGGGAAATGGCCGGGCTGGGGAGCCGGCGGAGGGCTGACAGATGCGGCCGTCTTCCCCGGCCGCGCCACTGGCCTCCCGGGGTCTGGGGCCGGGCGGGCGCTGGATCCTTCTGCAAAAAAAAACCCGAACACCCTGGCTCGGGAACTTCCATTATCGTGGTGCTGAAGTCTGGGTATTTCGTAGCACTCTTCTTCACTTGTTTTCTTCCTTCTGTCAGGAAAACAACAGTGTCTTGAATGTGTAGGGGTGGCTGCTGCTGCCCTCTTCGCTGGAGTGTTCGCATACTTGAAGCGTACTGCTGGCTTTAACTCAGATCTTGAAAACATAGCATACACGTAGCATATACAAGAGCTTGACAGGCTTTTTCCTACTCATGACGGGCAATAGGATTACAAAGTGCACTTAGAAACGACATTTATGTGGTTAAAGTTTTTTGGAACCAAGACGCTTCAGTGGTGTGAACATTTCTGAAGAAACAGATATACAAATCATCCTGTGGAATAGCTGTATTTGCTTTAAAATCGTGTGTGTGCCTAAGCCTATGTATGAACCTACATAAACAATGTTTGTAACCTATGTTTGGGCATATATAGCCCAGGTCTGCATTTTTTGGACAGAGATTATTTTGTTTAGAATACTTCAAAAGAAGCAGAGAACCCTGAAATGTTCTTGTTTCTGAAAAAGTGTGTGGGTCTCAGAAGGTGCGTTTGAATTTTAGAAAAAGGAACTTACTGCTCACAAAGTTCGTAACTTCTGTTTTAATTCTTTTTGCAGCCCTTACAACCTTCAACAGTATTTTTACACTATATTTTCTCAGGGGTAAAAATAGACTGGCCATACCTTTTCCCCTAAGCAGTAGTTGTTCAGGTTTGGGGTTTTTAAAGTCACAGTTCTGAGAAGACGTCTGGGGTTTTATGGCTTAATACACACCTAAAGCCTTTACATAATATCTGTGATGCTCCAACGCATCTATACAAAGAGATTGCAGAATTGAAGGTCTCTCTAGATAAAGATCTCTTTGTGTAACATTTGAATGCAATAGTACGTGATAGTTTTTCTACTAGTTTTTTGATTTGTCGATGTCGTATTTTTCAGTGAAAAATCAGCTTGCTTCTAAAACAATTTCTTTGTATTCTTTGCTCTGTGAAAGTCCATTCCTGCATAACAACTTACACAACTGTATTGAGAGGTTTGTGAAAAATGTTTTCAGTGTCCTGTGGGAATGACTAGAAGAGTACCTGGTAATGATTTACTTTTCTCTCAACTTTTGGTTCAAAAACAGGGATGTTGTGGAAACACAAGAGCATTATAAGAGCAGGTGGCGATCCATCTGGATTATGTATCTTACTATGTTTCTCAGTAGTGTAGGTGAGTAAACTCAGGTGGAGTTCAATGTTATTTCCTTAATGAATATATATTGTGGTTTGAAAATTGCAGGGTTTTCTGGACTGCAACTCCATAGCTCCTTTAATGCTACTGTTCTTTCATAACTTTAAAAAGGTGCATTTTCTGATGCTTCAAAAGAAAAGATATGACTAGCAAATCAAACAAATAATTACATTTAATAAGATAAATTAAATATTACTCTGGGTGACATATTACTTAAATCTGTGCTTTATGGGTGTGTAATAGTTCGGGGTAAAAGGTAGTAGCACAATAAGGTTATTGCTCAGAACCAAACAAAACAAAGGTCACCCTTATATCGTCCAAAGTGGAACTTCTAGGGAATGAAAATAGAAGTAATTAGTTCTTAAGAGGTAAGATCTTTGTAGTAGTATATGTAGTCTATTTCAAAATGTGTATGAGAGCTAGAGTGTAGAACAATTTACTGTTGCATTCCTAAATAGCTGCCCCTGGCAACAAGACTTCTGTTGACTTTTGACTTCTGGTGATTTTCTGTGGGCCTAGAAATGATCTAGAAAATCATAGGATACTTAAGTGGTTATTATTTTTTAATTTGATGAATTAAAATGTATTTGATAAATGAATACAAATATGTCAGTATATCAAGAAATTCTTTTCACTCTGGGGACCTTGTTGTCTTTCCATTGGGAGGAAGAATCCCATGCAGTTTGCTTGGTGCATCAGTGTTGTTTTTATTTAGCATGTACACACACCTATAAAATGTCCTTTTTAAAATAGTTCCTCCTGTTAGGAGGAACTATCACTTAAAAAAAAGCATATAGTACATATTTTTTTTCAGGTGACAGACTGATGCACAGTTTTACACTATAATACACTTAGTGGCAGAAGAATGAACCTGTAATAACTGTTTCATTAAAGCAAATACTGATAAACACAGCAAATGAAGTAACTTCAGTTATGTTTTTACTGTTTTGCAGGTTTCTCAATTGTAATTATGTCTGTGTGGCCGTATCTCCAAAAGGTCTGTAAATATGGTTGTTGGGGTTTTTTTAAGTAGTAAGAACAAGAAACTCCTGCATAGAAAGTATGTAATACAAAACTTGGCATTTTATTTATGAAAAGAAACAGCAAAGGGAAGCGTATGTTTATGGGACTTTTATTTTGCCATCCACTTGGACAGCTTTCATTATTTCATGTAAAATCTGTCAGTTGATTTCCTGAGTTGATAAAGGTACATCATAACTCAGAAACATCTGGTTTTCCAATATAATTTCACTGTTTTCTTGAACAGTGAATCAATAGAAGTTTCTTTAACTGAATTCATTTGTAGTGTTAAAACATAATATACGTGGCTTTCAAGGCTTGTAAAAAAGGAAGCTGAAGGTAGAAGTTGTTGTGTAAATGTCAGATTGTTGCACGTAGACCTTCTTGATATTCTTAACAGGTAGTTGCCTGTGTTTCTGGATAGTGCTTTTAGGTTTTTTTGGTTTTTTCCCCTCTATGTTGCATTCTTCTTAAAAGTGGCATAAAAGGTCTCTAAAACTTTAAGTTAATCTGTGCTAGGATTTTACTGTTCCCAGAATTGTAGGAGGCAACTTCAAATGCAAATTTGGAAGAAAGCATCCTGGGCAGGGTCCTGGAGGTATTGTTAAAATTGAGGCTGGTGCTGAATTCTTGGAAAAGAAAAGAAAATGCGTCATCAGCCTTGTAAATTGGGACAGATTTGGGCATGTGCAGAGGTGACT